CATGTGGATCTGATTGCAGTACAGAATTTTCATGAAAATGAGTAGGCTACTTAAATTGTTAGTAGCACAAGAAGCTTCTCTGACAGCAGATCCCAAGGGAACTATTTGCCTACTTAGTGTAATCAAGTTTAGGGAAGTTCTGGTCAAACACTTGCCTGGTCTCTTGTGTGCCAGCTGATAGTAAGAATAGAGGATGTGCAAAAATTACTTACCCCTGCACTGGAGGCTCCCATTCTGCTTTCTGTGCCTTCTGCACTGCTTGCAAAGTATTAAAACCCTCCCCCCTCCCCCCAACCCAACAGAAAAAAACCCCAACAACAGAAAAACCCCAAACATAAGCCTAGGAGGTCTAGCATGGGGTTCAGTTGTTGTAAGAGTTCATATAGAGTGTTACAATATTTTAATTCCCTCATGTTTGTTATCTTAAATTGTATACCACATAGATATAGTTTGTCAGCCTTTGGCTTCAAATGCTTCCCTTCTTATGGTAGCTGTACAATTAGCTTTGTATAGAAAGCTTGTTTTACTTCAGTAGTGTTTATAATTGGTCTCTTATTTCTTTGAGTAGATAATGAGTAGAGTTATTCTTCCAATATGTATTTTGTATATTTGACAATGAGTGGGACTGCTATGTTAATGAAGTTGAATGTAAGTAAATGTGTGAAGAATTAATTCCAAAGTCTTGATGGGGTAAAGGAAAGACTAATGGTAACTGCCTTGAATTCTGTAAATAATAAGGCTTTTGGATCAGAAAATGTTCAGAATAGTTGTGATGCTAAATTGCTGTATTTTCATCCTGGTTTATTTTTGAAAGATAATATGCAGACTTTAGTTCAGTAACAGTGCACATAATACTTGGGCAAGTAAAAGAAACCAAAGCATATCAGTTTTATGAATTTCACTGTGGATTAAGTGATTTATAGAGCCTCCAGCAGGTATGAGGAACTCATTCAATATCTTGGGGAAAGAAGATCAGCTATACTTGACTTCCATGGTGGTAAACTAACAGTATTAGAATGAAAGTGCTAGAGCATTGTGTGATTTATGAGAATACTTTTCAAGGGATAATACTGGTAGAAAAGGTACAGCTTGTCTAAGACAAGGTTTCTGTTATAATAAAATTACTTTTTAAGAGGATGACTTCAGGGGGGAATAGATGGAGGGGTGGTTTTAGGTTTTTGCTTTTTTTTCTGCTAATAAAATTTCCATACTATGGCTTGTTCTGTTCTTATAGGTATTTATTTTCTGACGTTTTTACCTCTCTGGCCCAAATTGACTTATTTTAGCGAATGGGGTGTATCAGGCCACAATGGTGAGATACAAAAGCTAAGTAATATTTTATTTTTAGTAACTGAAAAGGCCCTCTTTGCTATCTGAATCATGGAACAATATGGAGTCTTGGAAAGTGCAAGTATAAAATGAATTATCTGAGTTTTGGGGGGGTTTTTTTGTTTGTTTGTTTTTTAAAGGTCATCGTCATTACATTCTGCTTTGCCAAAGTCATTCCGTGATCTTGTAATGGAAGAAGAAAAATGTATGAGTGCGAATAATTCACCTGGTACTGGTATCAAAAGAGCTGGATATAAAGGAGGTGAGGATTCATCAGTCCAAAACACCGTAAGGTAAGAGAGCAGTCATCTTCTAATTGATCAACCATTACACAAGAACCACAATAACATGTTGAAATTCTGCAAAATAAGAAAGGATAAAATTATCATTTAAAAAAACCCTAAAACCTGTAAGCATTCGTTTAGTGATTCCGTTAATAGGGTTTTATGAACAGAATACTCTTTGGAATGGCAATCTTAAAGACTAAAGCAATTTAATGCCGCTGCTAATATTTTGTTTGAGGTTCGAGGTGTTTGTGTCCATACATACGGACATGTGTATATATGTGAGTGTGTGTATGTATATATAGGGCCACAAACACTTCAGGCTCCAAATAGAATACGTACATGTATGTGTGTACATTTGTATATGTGTGAATGTATAAAAATGGTAAACTTATATTTTCTAACTTCTGTAGAAATTGGATATTCTTTAGCATTCAGATATAGCATGCATGAAACAGAGTTTGCTTGGGAGTATTTCTGTGTAACCACTGAGTGGATAAAAGTAGTTTATTTAAACACAGTTCTGGCATTTCCTGATCAGAGTTTTCTTATACGCTGATGGATTAAGACGACTTACTGAAATATTGAGGCACTGGTTATGTCTGTGTATTATAATTACTGGGGGACTACAATTCTAAGGACAAAAATAACTTGTTCTGAGGTTCACTTGAATTATATGTCTAGTTATTAGATAATATTGCTCTTTGGTCAAATTGTTTTAACCACGCATTCTCTTGCTACCTCCAATAAAACCTCTCTTTTGGATTAAAATAACTGTCTTCAAGATGAGGGAAGAAATCTCAGCCTTATTCCTGAAGGTCTGTATGACTGAGTTGCCCACCCACCTGCATCTCTTCCCTCTATTATCAGTAACTTTGAATGCTATGCATTTCAAATATATTTACGAGACAGAGGGCCTGAAAATCTTACAGACTCTCTCACCCACCGTCAGGAAGCAGCGCAGCCCAACTGCCCCATGGTGGTAGAGGAGCCAAGGGTGACAGCAGGATCGGCCGGGCAGTGGCCTCCTGGCAAGGGCACAGCCCCACTGTGCCAGAGTGAGGTGAGTAGGGCAGGCTCCATGACAGAAACCAGGGTGAGCCACCATCAGCGAGCGCCAACAGGTCCATTGGGGTGAGGCAGGCTCAGGAACAGCAAGGCTGGCTTGCGCATAGCTGCAGCGTAGCTCAAGAAAGCCTAAGTCTGAGGGACTGAGCTTAAATGCAGCTCCTGAGTAAAGAGGAGGAGCCCCCGTGAGCCTTCGCACAGCTCTTGCTTACAACGCAACTCTGTTTATAGCAGCCTGACTCAGGTTTACACAGCTGCACTGAGGGAAAGGAGTCTGCAGAGCCTATTGGTGCACAGGCAGCCCTGATGCCCATTACCTCCCAGTTTTCTTACGAACTCCTGTTCCAGCCCCCTCCAAAAAACTGTCCCCTCCATAAGGAAAAGAAAGTTCTGCTGGGCCTCCCTCTTGGTTGCTCAGCTTATATAGAAACTGGTGTTTCCCTAGGAGAGAAGTAGTATGTGTCTTATTGTTAGATAAAGAGCAAAATGAGGATAGAAGTATAGGAACATTGTGTGTGGGATGGTGTTGGACAAGTAGGAGGGATTTGGAGAGTGTATGTGACAGGTGGGCATTCTTCAGGAACAGAGGGGTAAAGCTGAAGTTACTGTGGTGAGTGGAGATGTAGGGACATTAAGCACAAATCTGCAGAAAAACAAGTATCATTAATTTTGTTGCTAGCAAAATAATAAAGCTTTTTGCCATATGGGAGATGGCAAGGGCTGGTGATAAGGGAATTTGCACTGGATGCTATTAGTTTTGTCACACCTGCTCTGTGATCTTCATAAAGTCATTTCTTTTCCTTTTGCATTGCCCTGTCTAGTCTGTGCAGTCTGGCCAGTCTGCATGCTCTCGAAGTGGATTATTTGAGCTGAATGCAGGGCTAATACGTTAGCTATCTGAAAATGATACATTAAGCTATTGGGAGCATAGATGACTAGATTGACTATAATCAGTTAGAAAAGATGGCACTTCCAGAGCTATTCCAGGTTGTTTTGAATTGTGTCTGAAGATGCTTATTTCTCTCTATTAGGTATAAAGAGCCTAGGTGACTAGTTCATCCATCTAAAAGTTAGGAGTTGAGTTTCTAGTGTGAGGTGATTTTATTCTTTGACCGTACAGTTCCTGTCACAGCAGACTCCGATTTTTGCCTGGGGCATTCAAGGGCTACTTCTCTGAAGATTAATTGTCCACACCCTTACCCCTTCCTTTTTAAGGAGAGGAAATTGCATGTATGTAGAGCATAAGTAATCCTCATCTGTTGATATCAGACTCTCTGATGGAACATTGAAGATATTTGCATGGCTACTGTTCCTGCTTTGTCTTTTTTCTTTGGATAGACTGTGCAGTAATTAAACTGACAATTTTCTTAAGTATCTGGATGAGGGTTTTTTGGTGGTTGCATAAACACTCTTCCATATACTGTCACCTCCCAATTTATGCAACCCAGAAATTCTCTGTAAATGAACCACGTCATGAATGTGGAGATGTGAACTGGATTCAGTCCAGAGGCAGATCGGCCCAAAAGCTGGTCTATGTGGATGTGGCCGCATTGTTTCCAGGGACATCTCAGCCTTGGGAGTTATGCTCTGCAGCTGTGCGTGTGTAGCTCATAGTCCAAGCTAAAAACATAGGCCTGACATGACTTAACTTTGTTGTGGCAGCCTGGGTTGTCTTCACTGTGTTACTCCAGGGAGCAGTGAAGAGTCTTAGCGGAAACAAGTCTTTGTGGCTTCGCGTGGGAATGGCCTAGTTCTGGCATGGCTAATAATGAGCTAATAAGTAGTACATGAGTCAGATGGTACAGCAAAACCCAAAGGGTTCTGCAGGAGACCAGGCTTTGTGTTCCTTTTCTGAAAGCAGTCATTAGATCAGGGAGGCACCGGACCTGAACTGGCTTCAAATGAACAAATCCTCAAGCAACAGTGGGGAGCTGAGTGCTGGGACATCTTGGTGGCTGTGCAGGAGTCATGGCAAGTTCAGCCAACTGAGTTAATCAGGTTGGTTCAGTACTGATGATACTTGTCTGGTTTGTTTCCATGCAGAACCACTTATGTCTCTGCATCAGTCTTTAATTTTCAGGACTTCCAGGTTTCCAAGTTCTATATTTTTGAGGCTTTTTTTTCCATTTTTCTGTATATGCTAGCTTCCCATTTCCCGTCTGTTCCATTTCTCCTAGTTATTTTGATGCCAGCTGAGGAATTAAGTTAGCATGTTGAAATATCTGCAGTTGATTTAATATCTGGACTGAGTGTCTTGCTAGCAAGAAACACAGATGTACGTATGTACAAACAGCTTCAAAATATCTGAACTGCTTCCTACATTCTAAAGCCACATTTAAATTAAGGGGGATGACATAGGTATTTAAACTTATCTTTTAATTGATCACTAGAATGTGCTGTGACATTGGAACTATTAATTCCAGGTTTTGGAAGTTTCTGTTGTGGTGGGTTTTTTTGGTTGTTATTTGGGTTTTTTGGTTTCTTTTTTGTTTAGAAGTCTTGATCTGGAAATAATTTTGTACTGAAACAGGTTTGTTAAGTATAACAATCTACTTGGATTGATTTATAGTAGTGCTGTGAGTTCTTTGGATTGTGAATGGGAAGAAGAGTGTAGTTGTCAAATGGGCTGGATAGGTGTCGGTTACTGTCAAATGTACAGGAAGGTGAACATTATTAAAGCAGGTGGAAAAAGATAAAAGTTGAGAGATGACACCAGAATAAAGGCATTTAGTAAGTTGTACAAACATGCTCTTAATTAAACAAACCAGCAAGCAAAAAACTACCTTCGTGTCCTCTTTTCCTTCCCTCTTTTTCTCTCGCTCTTTCCTGCTTTTCATTAAGTTATTATCTTTCTCAAGTGCAGTAAAAGCTGGAAGCTGATTTATCTAGACTTCAGCTAAAAAGTAGTCCCCTGCTGTTGAAATAATGGAATAATTTTGATTCTCTAGTTCAGCCTTCTGCTCAAAATAAGTCAAACTAGATCATGTTGCTTAGGGCCTGGTCCAGTTGAGCTGTGACTGCTTCCAAGTATGAAGATACCCTGACCTTTCTGGGCAACGTGTTTCAGTGTATGGTATCCCCATAGTGGGATTTTTTTTTCCCCCTTATACTTAACTGGGATTTCCTGTTTTGCAGCATGTGTATGTTGCCTCTTATTCTATCACTGTGCACCTCTAAGAATATTCTTTCTACATCTTTTCCTACCCTTCATTTAGGTAGTTGAACACAGCAATGAGATCTCCCCTTTGCCACCTTCCTTTAGGATTAACAAAACACAGCTTTTCCTTTCGTATGCTCCAGCCCCTAATCTTGGTGGCCCTTCACAGTACTGGTTCCAGCCTGGCAGCATCCTTCTTGTACTGAGGAGCCCAAAACTTGGGTATGATACCCTGTATGTAGACTAACAGCATAGAAGGGAAGAATCACTTCCTTTGACTGCCTGGCTGCACTCTTAATGGTACAGCCCAGGATGCAGTTGGCTGCCTTTGCTGCAAGGGCACATGCCGATTCATCTTTGACCTGCTGCCAGCCACAACTCTGCAGGTACTTCTCTGCAGAGCTGCTTTCTAGCCAGTCAGCCTCTGGCCTGTACTGCTGCGTGGGGCTATTTTCTTCCAAATACAGGACTTTGCACTTGCCGCTGAAATTCATGAGTTCTCATTTGCCCATTTCTCCAGCCTCTTGAGGGCCTTCTGAATGGCAGCCTGGCATCCAGAGTGTGGACTGCTGCACCCTTCTCACCCTCTCCTGGTCCATCTGTGGCCTGGCTGAGAATGCGCTCTCTTCTACCAAAGACTCTAAACAGGATTGGTCCCAGTATCACTCCCTGAGGACCACCACTAGCACTTGCTTTCCAGTTGGACCTTGTACAGCTAATCCACAACCCCAGAAGTCCTCCAATCCAACCCACTTTCCACACATCTTGTAGTCCATTTACTCAGTCCATATTTTTCAGACTGAGTATAAGGATATTATAACAGAACATGTCAGACGCCCTGCTGAGGCCAAGTTCTTTGGCTTTCATGACATCCACTGCTTTCTGGTTGTCTGCAGAACCTGTCATCCTATCATAGAAGGCAATTAGGTTGGTCAGACACAATTTGCCTTGTGTCGTAAATCCATGCTGGCTGTTCCCAGTCATCTTGTCCTACATGTGCTCAGAAATTACTTCAGAAGGAATTGCTTCACAACCTTCCCCAGGATTGTGGTGAGACTCATCAGTCTGTAGTTCCCCATACCCTGCTTCTTGAAAATGAGTATAACACTTAGCTTTTTCTAAGCATCGGGAAGCCTCTGTGGTTGGTTGGTTGGTTTGTTTTTCTTCTTGCTAATACAGAAGCCCTTCCTTTTGCCCTGCATATCCCTCAGTTGTTTCAGCTCCAAGCTGAGCATTGGTTCTTACAACTCTGTTCCTGTACACAGAAGTAATATTTCTGTTTCCCTCTAGTGTAGACTGTCCCTGCTTCCACTGTTTATAAGTGTCCTTTTTGAATTTGAAGTTCATCTAGAGTTGCCTTTCATTCCTGCCAACCTTCTGCCGTGCTTGCTTGACTTAAGGCACATTGAAATGATCTGGTTTTGTGTTTTGAGGAGGTTGTCCTTGTGTATCAGAAATCAGTCCAGATACTGTCTATATGAAGTGTAGTCATTCTCTGTCGTTCTTTCCTTTGCAAGGTTAGAGAAAGTTTTTAGTCTTCTCTCAGAAGATGATCAGTGGAAGACTCAATACCAGTTACTCTTATCTGCAGCTGTGACAGTTTAGATTGTTCTTACTTGAACATAAGAGACCAAAACTGAAAACTTGTCCAAATAAGCTTTGTCCAGTGTGGTATATGTTGTCAAAAGTATTTGTTTCAAATAGAAACAACTTCCCCCCGCCCCCCCCCAGCCACATACTTCTGATTCATTCTCATGATGAGTACACCCTGGATTCTCCTTTTTCTCTTTAAGTTGAAACACTCGCAGCTTATAGCTACTATAGCCTTCACTTCATGTAATCTTTTGTTTCGTACTTCTGAATGTCCTTTCCCATTGCTTTGTTCCACAGTCATACTGATCATTTTTATCCTTTGCTAAATTAATAGCATCTCTTAATATTGTCTACTGGTTTGAGCCTTGCTGCTTATTGTGTCCACCAATGTTGACTTAGTTATATTACTTTTAGTTAACTTGTTCTCTAGAATAATGATCAGCCCAGCTGTAAAGTGAGTAAGGAATTAGCTAGGTAGGAGAGGTATGAGAAACTTGTTGCTTTTAAAAAAAAAAAAAAAAAAAAAAAATCATTATGTGGCACTTGATTCAGTGTCTTATAGAATTCTCATATTTGTTTATCACACTCATCTGGCATGACCCAATACCTTTCTTAAATAAAACGGGATTCTCTAACCTGCCATTGGTTTTCTTTTACCAAAGATAAAACAGGAAAAAAAATTTACAAGATACTGAATTTCTACCTTTTTTCCATTTTTAACTATTCTTCAACACCTATGGAAAAAGCGCTGTGTATTAATGAGGTAAAAATAAAGGAACTGCAGCTATATAGGTACTCAATCTGGAGCATGGTGCAGCAGATTTGACTACTTTTTCCATGGAGCTGTTTCATGTGTCATTTCTTTCAAAGCTCTGGAATAGTTGTTATCCAGAAAAATCCAGTTTGGAGAGTACCACACCTTTTTTGTTTCCTCTCCTTACCGTGTACCACTGGCTGTCCTGACAGTGCCTAATATGATGACCATTACTGAAAATGGAGGGGAAGGATCATCCTGACAAACACAAACTGTGCTTTCCCAGTGGAGGTAATATGACCTGGCAGAGATATATCTGCTGGGTTTGATTCAAGGGAGTGATAATGTAGAAGGCCTCTTTTGAAGGCCAGTGTTATGCCCTGGCAGCTGTTGCTGCAGATATATATTTTTTTTTTTTTCCCCTGAGCAAGTTAAATTTGTGTTCATTTTGTTCTTTGAGTAGTTGGCTGTTTGGTGGGCAAAATTATGTTGTGTGACAAAAACCTGGGCATGGTTCATTTAAATGCCATTTTTGATGATGGATGTTGCATTTCACATTTTTTGAGATCTTGTCCTCATTGCTTAGTGGTAGGAATCATGGTTCTTATTGTCCTTGGAATTGTGTTCTGGGGAAAATATTCTAGGCAGAGAACTTAGCAGTTACTGGAATTCTTTTAGCTTTCTATAGATTTTTCCTCTTTTCCAGGAGTTTGTGGCCACTTAGTGTTACCACAGCCTTAAAGGAAATTGAGACTGATTTATTGAAATACCAACACCCTTAGAGTTTTTTACAATACCATAGAATAATTAAAAAAAGTCTGCTAGCATTCGTAGTATGTTGTAGCGCTGTTTTAGAGTTTTGAAAATGGCGAAAGTTGCCAAAGATGGGTATTAAATAACAAGAATAGGTCCCTCTCTCCCTACTGGTGTAGTATTTTTTTGTCAAATCTACTTGTTGCTTAAGGCATACAGTATACCAAATGTGACCTTTTTTTGTTGAGAGATTAACTTTTTGCAACTGAATAAAATATCTTCCTGTTGGGAACTCTTTACTGATACTTCAGGATTTTTTTCCCCCAATTAATTCCAGTTTTATGCTATTCTGATGAATGTGGGAGATGGTTGCAGGATATGTACTCAAAGTCCATAATTTCTGGGCTTACACTTGAGGAAATAATTTACTAGTGCTATTGTAGCACTGGTTCTTTCACATGAAACATATAATTTGAATACAGGACAGTTGTTTGTTTTTTTATCTTGGAGCCATATTCTTTTCATATTAATTGCAAACATTTATACATTTATAAAACATACACATGTATAAAAACAGCACAAACAGTGCTGTTAGTGCATAAGTCAGTTGACTGTTTTACATGTAAAAACAACCTTTATTAAAAAAAAAAAAAAAGCACCTTTGTTCAAATGCTCAAATGTTAGGATATGCCAGAATTAACACCCAAGATGAAAATCCATTAAGTTCTGGTAATCAGAAGTGAGCATCAGTGTCTCCTCTACTCACAATATCACACTTAAGACAAATTCAGCATTACATCCTAATACCTTTTTTCTGGAAAAAACCTACAAATTTGAAAATTGCCTACTGTAAATTTGTCCTTCACAATACGATGTAGAAGAATGCTCTGTTGGTAACTTTCACTCTCATTTCCTGCCTTTTTCCAGATGCACCACTAGAAGTAGCTCAGCTCTGGAAGGCCATGTTCTGGATTCCCCACAGCTGGAGAGTCATAAGTAAGTTTGACAGTGGCTTAGATTCTGGAGCTTGTTTTCTGTGTGTTGTGCTGACCTTGTTCTTGATGTTGCCTCATAATGTCATTTTGGATTTTTTTGCAGTCCTTGGTCAGCGGCATCACCAACTAGCTCTCCTGTGATAGCACCTGTCATGTTTTCAGCTATTGTAGAGGAAGAGCTCCAGCAAGAAGCGGCTCTTATTAGGAGCAGAGAAAAACCTTTGGCTTTGATCCAGGTAAAGTGCTAAGTTACTGCAGCTGTGAAGTTACACAAGTAGTTTTCCAATGGCTGTTTCAGAGATCAGTTTTTAGGATTAATTATGTACTGGTACGCTTAGTATCATTTACATAACGATATTAAATATCATTTAATACTAACTTCACATTGCTGTTTGATAAGGTAGGCCTATATTAAAGTCAAGTTGACTATTGACTATCAAATATCAAATTGCATGATTAATGCATTCACAGCATCAGAGAAAGGTTGAGGTTGGAAGGAACCTCTGGAAATTGTCTAGTCCAAACCCCCGCTCAGAGAAGGGACAGTTAGAGCAAGTTGCTCAAAGCCATGTCCAGGCAGCTTTTGAATATCTGCAAGGATGGAGACTTCATGGCCTCTCTGGGAAACCTGTTCCAGTGTCTAACAGCTCTCACAGTAAAAAAGATTTTTATCTTTAAATGCGATTTTCTGTATTTCAATCCGTGCCCATTATCTCTTCTCTTGGCACTGGGCACCACTGAGAACAGATGGTGGTGCCATCAGATATTTATACACTTTGATAAGATCTCATTATTTCTTTCCCATCAGATATTTATACACTTTGATAAGATCTCCTTGAGCCTTCTCTTCTCCAGACTAAACAACTGCAGTGTGCTCGACGTCTCCTTGTATGTCAGATGCTCCACACTCTTAATCGTTTTTGTGTCCCTTCACTGGACTGTCTCTGGTATGTCCATGTCTCTCTTGTACTGGGGAGTCTAGAATTGGACCCAGCACTCCGGATGTGTCTTACTAGTGCTGAGTAGAGGGGAAGGATCACCTCTCTCTATCTGCTAGCAATGCTGTCCCTCGTAGAGCACAGGAGGCTGTCACCCTTCTTTGCCATGTGGGCACACTGCCGGCTAATAGCTTGTCCACCAGGACTCCAGATCATTTTATGCTAAGCTGCTTTCCAGCCTGTCAGCCCCCAGTATGTAATGGTTATTCTTCCCAGGAGCTGGACTTCACATTTCCCTTTGTTGAACTGCAGGAGGTTCCTCTTAGCCCATTTCTCCAGCATGTCTGGGTCCTTCTGAATGGCAGCACAACCATCTGGCATATCAGCCACTCCTTCCAATTTTGTACTGTGTGTAACCTTGCTGAGGGTGCACGCTATCCCATCGTGCGGGTCATTAATTAAGATGTTAAACAGTACTGGCCCTAGTCTCAGTATTGGTGTTAGTGACTGGCCTCTAGCTGGACTTTGTGCTACTGATCACAACCCTTTGAGATCACTGGTTCAGGCAGTTTTCAGTCCATCTCACTGCCTGTTTATCTTGTCCATACTTAAGCTTGTTCACTTAAGCTCTTAGTCTGTACGTAAGTTCTGCCACTTTTCTAGGTACTAAGTGGTACTTACCACTTTCTTGGTAAGTAGTCACCCAGATCTCCTTGCCCTTCTTGAAGGTAGGAATGACATTTTCTTCCTTCCAGTCCTCAGAAACCAACCCTTATCACCACAGCCTTTCAAAGAATTTTTTTAGAGTGGGCTTGCAGTCATACTGGCCAGCTCTGATCTTGGGGGCCTGGGATCGCTGAAGGCTGATCATATCACTGAAGACCAAGATGAAGGCAGCTGTTAGTTCTCCAGGCTTTTCAATGTCCTTTGTCATTCAGCAGCGAGCCCATGTTGTCTTTTGCTGCTCTAGAAGCCTTTCTTGTTGCCCTTCGTGTCCCTTGGCAGATTCAACTCCGGACAGGCTTTGACCTTGTGGTGGGTTGACCTTGGCTAGATGCCAGGTGCCCACCAAAGCTGTTCTATCACTCCTCCTCCTCAGCTGGACAGGGGAGAGGAAAATACAATGAGAAGCTTATGGGTTGAGATGAGGACAGGGGGAGATCATTCAGCAGTTATTGTCACAGGCAAAACATACTCAAATTGGGGAAATTAGTTTAATTTATTGCCAATCAAAATCAGAGTAGGATAATGAGAAATAAGACCAAATCTTAAAATACCTTCTCCCCACTCCTTGCTTCTTCCCTGGCTCAACTTTGCTCCTGATTTCTCTGTCGCTTCCCCCATGAGCAGCACAGGGTGACAGGGCATGGAGTTGTGATTGTCACACGTTGTTTTCTGCTGCTCCTTCCCCCTCAGGGGAAGGATTTGCACTCCTCCCCTGCTCCAACAGGGGGCCCCTCCCATGGGAGACAGTTCTCCATGAACTTTTCCAATGTGAGTCCTTCCCACAGACTGCAGTTCTTCACAAACTGCTCCAGCCTGGGTCCCTTCCACAGGGTGCAGTCCTTCAGGAAGAGACTGTTCCAGTGTGGGTCCCACACGAGGTCACAAGTTGTGCCAGCAAACCTGCTCCAGCCTCCTGCCAGGAGCCTGCTCCAGTGAGAGCTTCCCATGGGGTCACAGCCTCCTTCAGGCATCTACCTACTCCAGCACAGGGTCCTCCCCGGGCTGCAGGTGGAGATCTGCTCCAGCGTGGAGCTCCATGGGCTGCAGGGGGACAGCCTGCCCCACCATGATCTTCCCATGGGCTGCAGGGGAATCTCTGCTCCAGTGCCTGGAGCACCTCCTCCCTCTCCTTCTTCATTGACCTTGGTGTCTGCGGAGTTGTTTTCACATGTTCTCACCCCTCTCTCTGCCTGCAAATGCCACATGCTGTTTTTTCCCCCCTTCTTAAATATGTTATCCCAGAAGCATGTGTATCATACAGGGTATCATACCCGTCACCAGTTGGCTTGGCCTTGGCCAGCGGCAGGTCTGTACTGCACACAGGGGAAGCTTCTAAAAACTTCTCGCAGAAGCCGTCTCTGGAACCCCCACCACTACCAAATCCTTGCCATGCAAACAATTAGACTTTCTTAATTCTGTTCCTGTATGCTCAGACAGCGTCTCTGTTTTCCTTCTGGGTCACCTTTCTGTGCTTCAGCCTCTTGTATGCTTCCTTTTTGTTTGAGTTTTGTCATGAGCTTTTTTTGTCCATGCAGGCCTCCTGCCACCCTTGCTTGGCTTCCTGCTCATTAGCATGGACCATTCTTGAGCTTGGAGGAGGTGATCCTTAAAATCAACCAGCTGTCCTGGACCCTTCTTCTTTCCAGGGCCATATCCCATGAATTTTTTCCAAGCAGTTCCCTGAACAAATCTTAGTCTTCTCTTCTGAAGTCCCAGGATTGTTATCCTACTATTTGTCTTGTTCTCACCTCTCGGGATCCTGAGCTCCACTGTCTCATGGTCTTTACAGCTAAGGCTGCCCTCAACCTCCTCATCCCTGATCGGTCCTTCTTTGTAAGTATGAGATCCAGCAAAGTGTCTCCCTTCATCAGCTCCTTCATCATCTGTGTTAGGAAGTTTTCACCAATGAAGACCTCCTGGAGTGCTTGTGCCCTGCTGTATTGCCTTTCGAGCAGTTATCAGGGTGGCTCAAGTTTCCCATGAGGAGCAGGGCCTGCAAACATGAGGTTTCTTTAAGTTGTCTGAAGAAGGCCTTATTTCCTACTTCTTCCTGATTAGGAGATCTGTAGCAGACATGCATTCAGGACAAGTAAAGCCTGTTCATAACCATGCTACTGGTGTAAATGTAGATCTGACGCTGACCTACATGATCTTCTTTCCTTCCAGATCGAGGAGTGTGCTATTCAAGATTTATTAATCCACTATGAAGCTTTTGACAACCCTGATGAATTTGTGACTGTTGAAAGGGCTCCACAGGGACCTATAGCAGCACCTATGTGGAACAAGCACTAATTCATAGTCTTCACAGTCCATGTTGTATGTGCACTTCTGAAGTTCTAATTCTTGTTACAAGTAAAACGGGACTGGAAGAACAGGAATCGTAGTTTTTTAACATCAGCATTAAAACACTGCACATAATCACTAGGTATTTGTTAGAGAGAATGGAAATAATGTGTTCACTGTGTCCTTTACCCACAGTATATATTGTATGTATGTTTTGAGAGATTTCTTTAACGGAACATATTAGTAATGTTACATTGAAGCTGTAGTTTGGAAATGCATTTGCTAATCTTAAATTGTGAGGGTTTTTTGTTAAATTCACAGGTGGCTGAAAAGCGAGTGTTTATTTTGTAATTTAGTATGGTATTGAATATGCAGAATTATACATTGTTAAAGTTTGGGGGTGGTATGTTCTTCAGAGCTTTCTGGCAAATTGGGAATATTGGAAAAAGTTTGTGCTTGAACTTCATGTAAAAGTACAGTTTGATAATGCAGGTTTTCTTAAGTTATATGTGTAAGTACTGGTTCTCTGATTGTTGCAGCCAGTACGTTTTACTGTCATGCTCCACGATGAACTACTACGCTGTACCTAAGTGCCCTGCCATTGCCTGCTCTCGGTTCAGTTGTGCATGTTTTGTCACTGTTGTGAGACTGGCCTTTGAGCAGTCAGCTCTTTTGTGAAGTAAAGCACACAGTTGAATAGAACATGGTGGCATTTAATTATCTCATTTATAGTCTTATTTTGGTAAATATGGTACAGTTTAGAACCACTGTGTTTAAGGTACAAGTCACTTGAAGTGCTGAGGAAATAAGATCTGTGTATTCATTGTTAAAGCTATAGGGACAAATGCTTGACTGTGGAATTTGCAAACACCTAACCTTCAAAGATTATCATAGGTGGCTTTCAGTATTGTGTGTTCCAAAGTTCTCTGTGCCTGGTTTAAACAAATTTATGTATATATATATAAAAAAAAAAAGTAGCCTTATCTGCAATGTTCTATCTAGTTTGTCTGTTTGTATAGGTGTGTTTGAACTTGTACTTTCTCTATAGTGTCAGTACTCACAAACTCTGGAAAACTGGAATTGAGAGCGCTACAGAAGATGAATGTAGAGAATTGATCACTGTGTGATAAGAGTTGAATCTTGAAAAAAACCTATGTAGATATGTCTAATGGTTTCAGGTCAAGCTACACCAAAAAATCCCCCACAAAAATTGTAAACAAATGCAATAAACCATAAAATCTTGATTTACACAAAGTTAGTATACTTTTATGTGTTGTCTATATATAATCAATGCTTTAGGTAACTATAGAGTAATCTAAAAGTATTTTCTTTGTGTATGAAACAAGAACTGTAGGCATTTTGAAGTTACACAGGCAAAGGAAAATGTAGTTTTTCATTCTATCTTAAATTCTACTGGTGATTCATTCACTATGCTGATGAGAATACTTGGGTTAAGAGCTTTATTTGATGCACTGCAGGGCCTTAGGGCCTGCTGAAACGATACTTCTGAACTAAAAGAAAGCTTATGTACTGTGAGAAACAGCTATAAAAGCAGTGGGCCTTTCCAGGTGTGAACCCAATTTGTTCTTAAATGTAAAATGATTGTAAAGTTGCTAATTTGCATTTAATTTTTTTTTCTAAAATTGATTAGAATACGCTGTTTAAAATGTCATTCTCCTGTTATTGTAAGAGGATTCATGCTTCTGCAGTGCTGAGGAGCTTGACTACTTTTAAGTTCTGGTTTTATTGCTGCAATTTGCTTATGGATTGTTACTGGTTATACTTAATATTCACAAAACAAAGTGAAGAATGATCAGCGTGTCACTCTTCTGAAATTGAGAACATTTTTTTAAAGTGTTGTGTTAGAACAGCTTAAGGCTGAAATGTGTCACAGAAAGCTGTGTAAAGTTACAGATTCCATTTTTATTTAACTTCCTTAAAACTGAAACCAACAGAGTTTAAAATGTCGGAAGCATGCTTAAAAAATTCACATTGTAGTGGAAACAGAAAAAAAATTTCTAAATCCCTGGGGATACTTTATGGTACACATGAAAACCCAAACAAAAATCCAGAGCGAGACAGTTGCATCAACAGATGTAAATATCTTTCTGTGGCAATGGTAGAACTTTTAATTTTCTTCAGTTGCATACTTTGCTTTGATCAAAAACTATCATTTCCCAGTATTAATGTTAGGTCAATCTGTATTTTTTTGTTATAGACTTGACAATTGCAGCATCATTGAGATTCAAAGCAACCTCTGGAGTCCAGTCTAGCTCCCTGCCCAGCTCAAGCAGGCTCAGCCAGAGCAGGTTTTGAGTATCTCCAGGGACAAAGACTCCACAAGCTCTCTGGGCAACCTGTTCTAGTGTTTGACCATCTCCACAGTAGAAAGGCATTTCTGTATTTAAACAGAATTTCCTATATTTCAGTTTGTGCCCTTCCTTGACTCCTGTCCTGTCACTGGGCACCACTGAGAAGAGTCTGTCTCCATCTTCTTCCATGCCCCTCCATCAGGTACTTACACGTGTTTGTAAGATCCCCCTGAACCTTCTCTCCTCCACGCTGAACAGTCCTGGCTCTCTCAGCCTCTCCTCATATGTCAATACTCCAGTTATCTTTGTCGTCCTTTGCTGGGCTCTCCTTTGTCCATGCTGACTGTGAGTGTTATTTTACCAGAGGTCTTCTGGAAAAATATTTAGAGTTATTTTAAGAATTTTAAAGCTTAAACAATTCTGTTTACCCCTGTTTTCTATGCAGTAGATCAGTATCTAGTGAAATGAGTTGAGACTTGTGACTCACTTCATTCCATGGTAAGTGGGTGTCGGCTGGTTTTAATGATATTTGGAAATGTCCCTGTGGACATTACACTAGCATTTTCTTTTAATGGATTTTCATATATCCTCCTTCAGAATGATGTAACTTTTTTTTTATACTCCTACTTTTTTGTTTTAGTCTATCAGAATTCCTAAGGCCAAAGAAATAAGTATATCTACTAATAACTGTATAGGGAGATAAAAGTATAACCATTAATCTGTCTTATGTATGTCAACTGAGTGACTATTCACAGTTTGATTTCTTCTGGTTATTTTTCCTAAAAAATAAAAATCCCACAGGGAGGTTTTTCTATGTATTGAAACTTGCTAAAATTGCTTTTACATGAAGCAGTGGTGTACTGAAATCATAATTTAAGTTGTTATTGTCAGATATTCACACCCAAACTTTGCATATAAAGTAACATCACATTTTAGTTGTCTGTGCAACTCTTCTTTTGCATCCAGTCTGCATGAGGAAAGTACTCAGAGTTCAGGCAACAGCATCCAGAAATTCAACCACCTAGTGCATGTATGTTAACTTCGCATCAACATGAAAAATCTGGCATTTTGTAGGTCAGATGCCGGAGTTTGTGGCCTTTCGTGTAATACTAAGCATTCCATTGTCGCTCGATTAGCTCTAACAACATCATGTCCCTTCTGGGCTTGCTAACTCCTTTAACTTGCACCAAAACAGTGTCTCTAACAAAACTTATTGCGAAGTCAAGGGTGGAATTCCCGGGTCCTAATGAAAATAGAGCAACAACTCAGAGTTTGCAGTGAAAACGATGTTTAGCATATTGTTATACAATTTCAAGGAGATGTATGTGTTATAGCTAGCTGGCTTAACAAATACAAAGTTAGGAAAAGGCTTCTAGTGGAATATTTGTTATATCTCAAAGACAAACCAACCAACCTCCAAGCCATGTTTCTTGAGCAACGGTAAGCATTTTGTCATTTCTCCTTCGTCATTCATTATCTCAAACTTCAGTCACTTTTCAAAAATGGAGGAATAAGTAAAACTTGAAAATGTTTTCACATTAAAGGGGAGACAAAATTACATATGATTTTGATAATACGTCAGTGTCTTCAGCACTTGGTATTGTAGGCACTGTGTCAAGGCATTTTTGAGGAATATATAACTTTTTTGTGTTGTGTATTGAAATGAAAACACAGGAAAAGTAGGTGACTTCAGTCAATTAGAGAACCCCTAGTTTCCTTGGTTCCCTGAGAAGAGAGGCTATTTTTAGTGAATAAATTGACTGTAGAGTATCCTTGAACAGAATCTCTGTATAAGGACTGATTTTGCAACTTGTCATGGAAAAGCATTAACAAAAAATCACTAAATTACTAATTTAACTTGTGGTACCAATCTTGATGATACCTTCCTACCATATGCATTTTAACTGAATCCCCCTGCCCTGATTGGTAAGTCATTTACAGGTGGCTAACAGGAAATTTCAGTTACAGTTTCTAAAATGAAAGTATTCACAAAGGCTCTACCATAGTTTTCTGTGATGGTGAAATTACAGAACTGAACTTCTTTAAATGTTGTTGCACTTACAATTTTGTGTCCTTCTTCTTCCCCCCCCCTTTTTTTTAAAAAAAAATGGTTATAACAGGGAAATGATACAGAAAGTGACTCCTCAAGTTCTCTTGACAGTAGTCAACTTCAGATGTTCATTGATTTTCTATTATTGGAATAGTGTTCTGCAGCCCCTTAGCAATCTGAACTCTCCCTTGCCCAAAGAATCGCTTGCTCTAATGTAATGACAACTTAAATCAGAGGAGATTACTGGATTATTATATCTTTTTCTAAATATAAAGGTTAAAAAAATATTTTGGAATAAATTAACTTTCACCCTTAACCCTTGACTTGCATGATGCCATCAGACCCTTGCAGTATCGGGAAACTGGTTAATGAAGGTATAAAATGATCTCTGAATGGATTCCTCCCATTGTACTCCAAGAAAAGTCTGTAAAACTCCAGGGAAGAGCCTGTTAGTTTAACTAAAGGGGAAAATTCTTCCCTCTCTAAAATCTGATGCACTTCACCCTGGTCAAGTGAGATGCTGATGAGGCATCCAAAAGGTGAGTTCCTCCCGTCAAGGTTCTGGCTGTGGCAAACCTCAGAACTGCCAAGAGGGAAGGAACCTGGCATACCTGGCCAGTTGTGCACTGGCATACAGAAATCTTCACTGACCAGAACTGTGAAATCTGAAACTCTGTTTTTACTGTACTTGTATGTCTGCGCGTGCTTAAACCCAGTGAGAGCAATGTAGATAATATTTCTATGAATGCTCTTGAAGGAACGTTACACACAAGATCTGTAGATTCAGGATCAGAAGGGTGCCTGTGACAGCC